CTGTGGGTGCTGTCTGGGGGGAGCTAGGGCAGAACGAAGCTGGGTTCACAGTGTGGCAAGAAGGTGCCGGTGGGCTTCAAGTGAGCTTCTAACCTCCGTGTTTCACTGTGCCTTGAGCTCTGAATCCTGCTCAGCTCACACAGCATTTCTCTTCCCTGGTTTTCTTCACAAAAACCAGAAAACCTTGCCAGAAGGAGCAAGGGGTGCTGAGGGTGGGGACTTGGAGTTGATATGGGGAGTCTGGGAGAAGGTGAGAGAAGCAGAGGCTGCAGCCATCTCTGGGTGAAATACATCCCCTGGGCTGGTCTCTAAGCTCTCAGGTAGAGAGCTGAGTGTCCCTGAGGTTTGGTAGGGCTGTGCTGGGTGGCTGCAGGACCTGCAGTGTCAAGTTGCCCTCCTTTTGTTGGGCTTCACTAATTCCCTGATGTTTTTCTGTAACCTCTTGCTTGGGGAGAGATTCTTTTCCACACAATGGTTTGGGTTGGAAGGAAGGGACCTTAAAAATCATCTAGTCTTGCTCTTGCCACTCTCTTTCCTTTCAGTCTAGGGTAGAACTCAAGCTAGGAAGAGAAGAGCTCTATCTTTGGTCCAGGACCATAGAAGAATCCCTGCCCTGGATTGTGGGTCTTTGTGCAGGGCATAGCACCGGATCCTCCAAAGGGAAAGGGACATTCAGGGATTTCAATAAACAACTGTCAGAAGGGACTGGTTTAGGAATTCCACTTTGGTTTAGGAAATCCACTTTGAGTGCTGAGTTACTCTCATAAAACAAGGGTCAGTGACAGCTCACTGCAGGGTGAGGCTGATGGCTGATCTGTGCTTTCCTTGCAACTTTTAGCCACGGGATCCCTTTGCATAATTTTTATCAATGGTGAGTGTTACTTCCCAGACTGAGGTTGCATAATGCCATGTGGTTTTCTCTACCCTTGCCTGGGACTCTGGTGTTGGCAGCTTCTTTCAATTCTTTCTGCCTGTGGTTTCCTTCCTGCTGGTGCATGTTGAAGGCAGAAGGGCTGCTGTGATGCTTTTAGTGCTGCAAAGCGCAGGGCTGCACGTGTCTGGCAGCCTCTCCTGAAGAGGTGCAGAGAACAGCCCTCTGCCACCTAGCAGGGGTTTATCCTCAGGGTGAACCCTCTGCAGAGCTGGGGGAGGCTTTCCTAAGGGTGGCTGCAGACTGAGGCAGTTGTCTCAGCTTCCCTTAGGCTTGGGGGCCAGAAGCGATGCTGTCCCCTTCCAGTGACTGAAATTGGCCTTCGTCTTCTGCTCTGGTCTAGATGAATCTTATGACATTGGCTGGCTGCCCTGTCTGGACATGGGACTTTCTTGCTGCTCTCTTCTCACTCTTGTATCACTTATTTCTTGAAATGAGAGGCCCTAAGAGGCAAGTTCCTCTCCCCAGAACTGAGCAAATCTGGGTGTCTGACCACACACTGTCCATGTGTTTCTGGCTGCGCTCTCAGTGCAGCCCTTCACATGTTACCATGCCTTGACTTGTCCTCTGCCTTGCCAGCAGGTCAGTGATCACTCTGCTCTTTTAATCATGCTCACAACCCCTGGGGGTTATATGGTTTTTAGACTTTAATTCCCTCATCTTACGGAGCCACATGCAAGGCAGTGCCAAAAGCATCTGACAATGCAAATCTAGTGCCCTGTTGGCTCATCACTGGCTTTCTGGTACCTCTCCCACTCCATGTGAGTTTGCCCTGCTAATCACCAGTGATTCAGAGATGGCCACAGCCTGGCTTGGGAGGAAGTTAGGGGAATCTTTTGGGTCTTTATGCTTGGCTGTCCCTGCCTTATCTACCCCTTCCTTACTTAGTTGTTCTTTTCCCTTTTCTCACCCGTGTGCACACTTCAGTGTGTTGAATACTTGACCATAACCTCTTGTTTTGTTTATTCAAAGACAAGCCAAAAAGAGTTGACATCTTTGACTACTTGCTCCCCTTCCTAACTAATGGGCTTTTACTTTCTTCTGTTTTTCAAAGCTGGGTTTCTGGCTTCCTGTGTTTCCTCCTCTCCTGTGGTTCTCTGCTGGATTAGAAAGTTATCTCCTTACATAGGTCTTCCATGGTAGGAGAAATAAGAACCGTAAGTCATTTCTTCACTCTCCCTTTACATCAGTTCCTGGTATTTAATTCCTTAAACACACTCAAATGCAAACTGTCTACTTTTGCTGAACTGCAATTGTGTAGAATTTGTTGAAATATCCCGGATTCCACTTAGAATGGAAAGTATTTCATCAGCATCTAGTAAGAAGTGCCATCCGGCTCTCCTCTAAAGGGAGAACTGAAAGCTTGACCAACCACTTCTGTGCTAAAGAGGAAATATTTCCATCATTTCCATCAGAAATAATCTGTGCAATTGTGAGGTTTTGTGTGTGGTTCCTACCGGATGACAGATTTTCCTCTGGCAACTGCTAAAGCCAATGCCCACAGGTCATCACGCTTCTACTTGTGGCTGCAGTGATCTCAGGGTGGGAGATATGCCTTTTACCACCATCCTGGCATTTGTTGTTTCCCGTTGCTACTCTCTTGCCTATCCCATCCCAGCCCTTTCCTCTCTGCTTGGGCAGGCAAAGGGGCTCCCGCCAAGCCAGCATTGCCCACTGCCATAGCTCATCCCTGGCTGTGACCCTGTGACTCGGTTCTCCTGTCCAAACCCAGCTCAACCCTGGCTCAGGGCTGCTCTCCCCAGTAGTATCACACCCTGGGGTTCAGGTAGCTCAGCACCTTGTTCCCACAGTGGACTCAGAGAGCAGTTGCTGGTTGCCTTCATTATAACAGCCTGTTGAGTGCTGATCTCCTCCCTCACACTTCTCCTTGTCAAACAAAGCAAAGCTGGCTCTGGTGAGTGCAGGATTGATGCCAGAATGGAGGGGTTGGAGGGCAGAGGTCTGGGGCAGGTCTCTGTGGGAGACACAGAGAGGTTCATAAAACCACACAAAAGGCTTCTGCTGGCTCACCCCTGAACTTGGGATTCCGCTGCACGTGGGGGACACTTTGAGGTTCAGAGAAACCTGTTGGTGGCTCTGCAATGGCATTAAACCAGAAAAACTCATGCAAATCTTCAGTCTTCTGAGAAACTGAGCCTTTTCCTTCTGCTTTTGTGTATCCAGAGACATTTGACAAGCAGACACATTTACAGCAGGTACTACCTCTCCTGCAAGCCTTTCTCAAATGCCCTAGATGAAGACCCAGGTCACCAAAGGATTTATTCATTTGTAGCCCTAGGTACAGAGTGGCTTAAGCAGAAATAGCTGAAACATGGTCAGTTGGAGAAGAGAGCTGGAGGGGCTGTTTCTGCTCATACCACTGCCCAGCACATCAGCGCTGCCTATCTCCTCCTGAAGGTCTCCAGGGAGATGATTTACCCCCGGTCTCATATCTGTGTCATCTTTCCTAAAAGAAACAATCATGATTTGGCAAAAACCTAATCCTACACCTCCTCTCAAACAAGAGGTGCTCAGAGGGATGCATCCTTCAGACAGAGACCCTTTGGCAGGGGGAGGTTAATCCCTGTGCGTGAACAGGGAGCATTGCCCCTGCCATGGGGTGAGGATGAGAGGATGGGTACAGCTATTGCTCAGCATCTCCATGAGTTAGACTTCTCCCTTGAATCAGGGAATTAGTCATGCCCGAGCAAGAGTCAGGAGGCAGAGGTTTGCCTGTGGGCTGGGTAGCAAATCCTTTGTGGCACCACAGAGCAGCATCAGGGCAAAGCCAGGAAAAGGGTCAAAAAAGGAGGAAGGAACAAGTTCAGCAGCTCTTTCTGGATGTGCAACAGTGGGGTGTTTGGGAATTACCCTCTGGGGTTGCAACTGATGCCCCTTTTTGTCATGCTACGATCTCCTGGAGGTTTCATCTGCAAGGCTGCAATAAGCTCATCTCAGAGGGCACCACCAGAATCCTCTCCTCCAGCTCCTGCTTTTAACTCCCTATCTCCTGACACATGTGTATTTGCCTTCTGGGGGGCTAAGCCAGTAGAGAGAGCTTAAATTGGATGAAATTCTCCTGCTTGGGAGGAAGTGGGCAGGCAGTAATTGCAGTAACTTGACTGTCAGGAGGTTGCAGACTGCAGCCCAAAACTGAGATTCTTAGGGAGGTGTCAATCCTCTATTCACTCTGAGGACAGAGAGGGTAGCAGGCTGCAGCCCTGGGGCAAGGCAAGAGTCCAGTCTCTACAGGTCATCTGGTTCTCCATGTCTCTGCAGCCTCTCCAGCATGGGGATAAAGCTTTTGACCATATTGTCAGCAAAAAGGGGATAAATGTGAGGGCACCCTCCCAGCCCCCCATGACTTCTAGCTCAACACAACCTCGGTCCTACATGATCTTTCCTTGCCTATGTGTCCAACCAAGAATGAGGGCTATCAGGGGACATAAATGTATGTGCAATGCATCGTTATGGAGGTAACTCTTGTATCCCTGCTGTGACCAGTGGAGCAGGGTGAGAAGGGCTATTTGTGCCAAAACTGGGAGTTTTCTCCTGGCAGTGGTTTTCTGCCAGCAACAGCAGCAGAGCCTGGGGGTGTCCATCCACAGAGCAGCTCCTCAGCCCCCCAACACAGTGATGCTGCAGAGCACATCCCTGCCCGGAGCTTGCTGGTGTTGCTTCACAGCTGCCTGCTTGGGATTGCCATTGGGGCTCTGGCCATGGAGCTTTGTGCCCCAGCCTGGCTCATGGCTTGTGGGATCCTTGCAGCAGTGGTGGGGTTGGTGGTGTGGGGGTTTGGGCTGCCTATGGGACACCCAAATAGAATCTGAAAGTCGCAGCCCATGGCCAGTGCTTCCCTTTCTGTGGTTTCCTTCTCCAGCTCAGCAAATCTGGGTGCTCTGACATAATTTCCCTGGTATGATGGACTCATTTTCTTTCCTTGAAACCCTGTGCCCACCCCGCGGCTGGGGATAAAAGGAGGGCATGGCCACAGGGCCGAGCACTGCGCAGAGGAGAGCCCTGCAGACCCCAGCTCCAGCCCTGCTCACAGATCCCTCAGCCTCGCAGCACCATGAAGGTCTCCGCAGCCGCTCTGGTTGCTCTCCTCCTCGTGGCCGCCTGCTCCCCATCTGATGCCCATCTCGGTGAGTCCCACATCGCTGCATCCTCCCCGGAGCTCAACTGTGCTATTGCTCCATAGGAGCTGCTGGGGCAGAGAGCGAGCTCCATCCCCATCGGCAGGGGGAGGGCTGGGAGCAGGAGGCCAATGGTGGGACTCAGGCTTGATGGACATGATAGGACACAAGAGGGGACATGGGAGATGGCAAATCCCCCGGGAGCCCTTGTGCCGTAGCCTGGGCTCTCACCAGGGCTGTCTGCCTCTGCCCTCACAGACGGCGTCCCCACCACGTGCTGCTTCAGCTACCACGACCGCCCCATCCCACGACGCCTCATCACCTCTGCCTATGTCACCAGCAGCAGCTGCAGCCAGCCAGGAGTGATGTGAGTATCACTGGGGGCTCAGGGGGCAATGGCTGGGGCAAAGGGACAGGGACGTGGCCGGGGACCCACTGCAGGCACCCCACTGCCCCGGCTGCGCGCCCTAACACGGGATTTGTCCTGGCAGCATGGTCACCAAGAAGAAGGAGCTGTGCACAGACCCCCGGGCACCCTGGGTGCAGACACATCTGAAGCACTTCCAGACCCTGAAGAACTGATCCTTCCCCACTGCCACCCGTGATGCCCCTGGAGCTTCCCCAGCGGGCTTGGCTTCCAGCCCCAGGCACTCAAGAGAGCACTTGAACTGCAGCCTTCTTCAACGGGAAAGCTTATTCTATTTAACTTATTTAAGTTAAACAAAGTATTTTTTGCTAAGAAAAGGGAAAAAATACCCCCAAAATAAAATATATAAAAGTAATAATTTAAACTGAAAATAATTTAAACCATATCAATGTGCTTGTTCATGAAGAGTCAGGAGTTTTGATGCCTAAATAAAGTGTTTGTGTTATCAACCCTTCTTGCGTGTGTCTGAAGTCCCTGCTGGAGCCCCAGCACAAGAGACAAGACCCATGGTGACACCACTGCCCTCCACACATTCTGGGTTCACTGCTCTCTCCTGAACAGAGCATCTCCCAGTGCTTCCCCCTCCCGAGCCTGGGTTCAGCTCCGGTGCCACCCATGGGGTGACACCAGCATCTCAACTGGATGACCAAGGCCAGCTCCTGTTTGGGAAACAGCCTGGCATCCCCTGTGGTGCCAGGAGGAGGTTGGGGCCACCACAGCTGCTTTTGCCTTGCAGAGCTCAGGCACAACCAGCAAACCCACATGTGAAGCTCCAAGTTTTATTAGAGAGAATCTGGACATCTCTAGGGCAGGGGCTGGGGGGGCGGGTGGATGTCGGGGTGTCCTGCAGGGATCCCGGCCTCTTCGTCCCCAGGTGAGGTGGCAGGAGCTGGGACACTGTGCGAGGGTCCCTGTGCCAGTGGGTCCAGCTCCTGGGCTGGCTGCAAGGTGGGCACTGTGAGGGGCAGGGGGATGATGAGCACAGCCAGCCCGTGCCACACTCCCTCCCTCCATCCCC